GCCATTGATGATATTGATGACCTCGAAGCTGTCTGATTCCACAATGGTTTCCACCCCATGTTATCAGTAAGGACTTGATTCAGAATTTTGATCCCTTCCAAAATAGCTAAAGCTTTGCGAGCTTTAATAGGCCACTTCCTTTGGAGATGATGGCAGCCAACAATTATAATCCATCCATTTCAGTTGCGCACAATCTAACTGATCCCTCCAGCATTCAGCAAATCGATCCAAGTCGCATCGGTGTTGAGTTTTTAGTGAGGACACACCCGGGGGTCCAATTTGCTACCGAAGCCGAAATCGCAATCGTTGTCGCCTCCTCACCAAAGTTTTGAGCTTCATCCCAATTTGCCTCTTTGATCTTGATTTCAATCAAATCCACTATTTTCTTGAAATATGGTTGTTCATTGATATTGTGGAAGATATTGTTCCTATAGGTCCAAATGCTCCAAAGAATGATTAGTTCTTTCTGCATTTTGAGTTGGTCTGTGTCTCCCCAAATCTAGTCAATATCCACAGCGCTCCATTCCGCACTATTAACACCAGTAGACCGAACGTTAAAATTTAAGAAAATCAGCCATAAATCTCTAACAGACCTGCAGTTCCAAAAAAGATGTGATGACATGTAGTCTCCTCCTTCTACGACAAAAATTGCATTCCTTCTTCGTGAATATTCCTTTTGTTCTTAGATTTGTCGAGGTGGGAATAATATCATGGATAATCTTCCAGCAACATATTTTAACTTTAGGGGGTACTGAGTTTGACGTTGAGGCTATTTCTAGATTGTCCAATTGAACCCCCAATCTGTAAGCACTCTTGACCTTAAAAATTCCTTTCTTATCAAGACCCTAGATTATCTCATCCTTTGGGTTGTGTCTACTTAACAGAATATTGAGAATATGGTTCACCTCATCCTCCAAAAAGCAATTTGTGATTACATCCTCATTCCAAACTCCTGTCCTCACAAAAGAGTAGAAACCTTGGTGTTCTTCAATGAATCATGCACTTGGATGGGTTTGTAGTTTTCTTCCTTAGGAAGTCAAGGGTCTTCTAACACATCTACACTGGTCCTACACCCTATTCTCCAACGACAGCCATTTTAGGAAAAAAAATCCTTCTTAGGAAAAAAAAATCTGAATCCAGCAGACAAAAAATGAGTTGTTAAACAATATTGTAATGAATCTAGAATCTATACATTTATTGACTAATTTTAAGACTCAATATAAAGATATCTAGAATTTTTACATATAAAATTATGTCCTATATTCAAATTTCTTAAAAGAAAAAGATTATATATATATTTATAAGAAACAATTTCATTCATTATATGAAATTATAGAAGATGGAGAAACCCCAATCCAAAGGAGTTACATAAAAGATCTCCGATTGGATAAAAGAGAAATATAGCTATAGTAATGGAAATAGAAGAGTTTTACAGCAATCATTAACCAAAAGAACTATAGTGTGATCAAAAAAACGGTGAAAATTATGTTCCTTCACTTTGAAGATTCTACTGTGTCACTCTCGCCATTTGACCCATAAAAAAGCTAACAAAATTCGTCCAAAGAAGCTTTTTCTCCTGGTTAAAAGGATGATTTCCAAGAACTATAGAGAAGAGAGATGTGGGTTCGTTTGGGAGGGCTGTATACCATCCGAAGCTAGATAGAATAAAGTTCCAAACAAAAAAACCGGCAAATTTGATCACGAGACGAAGAGATGTTGTAAGGACTGAAGATTATAATTTATAAAGTAAAAAGTTTAACGTGACGTTTTCAAATTTAACTTTAGAAATTCACCACCTCTAAGTTTATATATCTTTTAATAATTATTATTAAAATGAAAAAAGGAAGAAGAGAATGAAGAAATAATAGCTTCATTCAAAAGAGCACAGTTAAAGCCTTTAGCATTCAGTGATTCACTTTACTTGTTTGGCTCTTTAGATGGAGAGATGACCCATTAAAACAACTCCATGAAACAGGATTACTACACATATATCATGTCTGTCATTATCATTGCCTATAAACCACTAAAACCACATATTATATATATATATACCTTTCAACTTTTTTCACCACACCTCACCATTAAGCTTGACCTCCTAGAACATTAAGCTATACAGTGGTTATATCTAGATTTGTTGATTAAAATGTTAGGGTATCCCTACATCTATTGTAAAAAGAGTCGGAAGTTAGTTTCCAAGTGGGAAGATCTCATCTCTTGTGTACTTTTGGAGTGTGAAGGGGATTCATTTAGTATCAACAAATGGTATTAGACCCAAATTTAATTGAAAATCTAGTTGATAGGGAGATTTGGAGTTTAATCAAGATGTTAGTTTAATAGACCCAAATTCAATTGACAATCTAGTTGATAGGGAGATTTGGAGTTTAATCAAGATGTTAGTTTAAGAAAATAAGGGTCTGTCTGGTAATATTCTCATTTATTATTTCTGTTTCATGCTTTTTAATAAAGAAAAATATGATTACATGACCTCAACATCCATGGATTCAAGATTGATAAAACAATATTTTTTTATTTATGTTTTGGAACAAACTGAAAACGGGAACCAGAAACTTGATTTTGTTGGAGTATTTCTAAAAAATAAGAAACAAGAAACATAGACAATTACCACATATTTAAATTTCTTAATAAAATTGGAAATGAAAAGTAAGAAATGGAAACATTACCGAAGGGGCTCTAAAGAAACCAACTTAAAGCTAAATTTTTTATTAGGAAAAAAAAAAGAGAGAGACTGGACAAATTGACCATAAGCGACTGAAAATCAAAACCGTCCAAATGAAATTAAAACAAATCATCAATCACAAGAAAAATAGTGAAGCGATAGTAATTGACTTACTAAACCATGGTGACTAGACTAGGTTGAGTTAGAAGAGTTTGGATGACTCAAGGTTCATATTCGGGAAGGAAGAGTGAGGGGAAGAGGCAAGAGCGGAGCAAAGGAGGGTAAAAATTGCCCCTTCCTAAGTTTGGTGCAATTAAAATAATATATACAAAATCTTTAGTTTTTCTCTAGTATGCCTCCCTAAATTTTTAGAGTTAAAATATCACATATATAATGGTACAATGCAAAAGTTCGCCCCATTTGAAAATTTTCTGCTCCTGCCCTCGGGAAGAGGGTATTGTCCATGGACTTGATCATTCCATTTGCTCCAACAGACAAACATGGTTTTTGTAATTAAAGAAATTTGGCAAACATTTTTTTATTCGATTTACTCTCTTTATGAGATCCAACTCAAAACCTCATCTAATATGGAATTGTTTATATTAAAAAATAAAAAAATAAAATAAAATATTCTTTGAGATGGGGATACACATTTGGCACCAACAAATATTCTTTGAAAAATCAAAACATCAAGCCTGTTTGGAACTTTTCCATTTCTTATTTCTGTTTTTTCATTTTTAGTAAAGAAAAATAGATTTGCATGCCCCAAACACCCATAGATTCAAGAATGATAAACAATATTTTTCTTTATGTTTTGGAACAAATTAGAAACCGCGAAAAAAAAAAACAAGAAATTGATTTCTTGTTTCCAAAATTTCTATACAATTTTAAGCATGTTTCTAAAAAAATAGAAACAAGAAACATAAATAGTTGTCAAATACTTAGGTCTCTTAATAAAATTGGAAACGAGAAACAAGAAATGGAAAAGAATCAAACTTATGTGCTTAAATTGAAAGAATCAAATACTGATTAAATTAAGGGTTTTTCTAACTTCTAGATGCTTATCCCTGCTTATGCTCTTGTATTCTTTCATTTGCTCTCAATGAAAGTTGTCTTTTTTATAATAATAATAATAACAACAACCTTCTACATGCTTATTAACAAACTATTCGGGTAAGTCAAACCTCTATCTAAAAGAATCCAAAACCCTCTAGAACTCGATAAATACAGAATGTATATATATATAACAAAAGTCTACAGCAGAAAGTTTCTTCCTAACCAGCCTGTCTTAGCTCCATGTAAATGCAAGAAGTTTGCATTATTTAAGCTTCCTACAATACCTACTTGTTCCTCATAACAACCAAAAGCTTATAATATTTCTAAGCATGTCAACTCAAACCCTTTCACCAATTATTATGAATCAGCTTAGCCATTTTTCAAATCACTGTGTTCTTGTTTCAATTATCACAATCATTGTTACTTTTCCAAGTGACAGGAATCAACCCACTAATGATTAAAATAAAAAAGATAATAGTAAAGAAGAAAAGAAGTTTGGTGGTTATTATGACCATCTGCATCTTTCTTTTCAAGCAATATAATTCTCCATCAATAGAATATAGGCTAAGTCTAGGTAGACAGACAAACCAGTAGGCAACAACAAAATGTCTGAATCCAAATCCAAGGCAGCCTCAGTGGAGCTCCCTATTATAGACATTTCTCAGCCATTGTCTCCCTCTTCTCTTTCTTCACTTGCTGATGCCTGCAGAAAATGGGGTTTTTTCCATATCAAAAACCATGGAATCTCAAAAGATGTCTACTCTAAACTCCATTCATTCTCTAAGGACATTTTCAGCCTCCCTTCTGAAACAAAACTCAAAATTGGCCCTCTTTCTCCTTTGAACGCTTACACTCCACATTTCATAGCCTCCCCATTCTTTGAAAGCCTAAGAGTCTCTGGCCCAAACTTCTTAGACTCTGCTCAGAATTCAGCAGATTTCCTCTTCAACCAAAAGAGCCCTAACCAGTTCAGGTACACACCATCCACAACAAGATTTTCAAGGATCTCGAGAGATCTCAGAGTTGGAGTGATCTATTACTAGGTTTAACGCCTCTGTTTGAGCGTTAGTTACTAAGGAATTTTGTTCTTACCCTTTAGGTTTTATTTTTTCGAATTGGAATCCCTTCTGGTATAGTTAGCCTCTGGCTCTGTTGGCGGACTGCCTTTCTGTATGCCGTTTTGTGTGTTCTCTTTCATTTAAAACAAAAACAAAAACAAAAACAAAAACAAAAACATTCACAAAATATCATATCCACTTCAAAATTCAAGTCCTGTATCTCTATGTCTCTAAGTTCACTACTCTGTTTTCCTAACAATTTACTTTCATGTGCATGAAGTGAGATACTGCAAGAATATGGAGACAAAATGACAGAGCTATCAAAGAAGATTGTGCAGAACATACTGATGAGCCTAGGGGAAGGTTTTGAGAAGACGTACCATGAAGCCCATTTCAGGAATTGCCATGGATATCTCAGAATGAACAATTATAGCCCTCCAGAAATCATGGAAGACGATGAAGAAACAGAGGGGCTGGGAATGCACACGGATATGAGCTGCGTGACCATTGTGTACCAAGATCAAACAGGCGGTCTGCAAGTGAAATCGAGCGAAGGGAAATGGGTGGACATATGCCCATTTGGGGGATCCGAATCCGAAGCTCTGGTGGTGAACATTGGGGACCTGCTCCAAGCTTGGAGCAACGACCGGCTGATATCGTCGGAGCACAGAGTGGTTCTGAGGCGGCCGGCGATGAATCGGTTCTCGATTGCGTTCTTTTGGGGGTTTGAGGACGAGAAGGTCGTGTCGGCGCCGGAGGGGGTGGTCGGCGACGGCGGTGAGAGGAAGTATAGGCCTTTTGTCTGCTCGGATTATTTGAAATTCAGAGAGAACGACGAAAGAGGGAAATTTGAGAAGGTGGGTTTCACTGTGAGAGATTATGCTGGAATTAAGATTAAGAAAATTTTTGAAGAGAAATAATTACATTTTGATATATGGTAGTTTTTAGTTTTTTTCTTTTTTTTTCTTTCCTTTTTTTTGGGTTAAAAAAAATTTTAGTTCCTCGATATAGTTTGTAACGATTTAGTTACATAGCAATGCAATTTAAAGTTTGTGACAGTTAGGTCATATTGTAAAAAAAAAATTAAGATTTAATGTTTTTTATATATGTAGAACGATAAACGAAAGATTAGATGTGTTTCTAAATTACAAAAACTGAATCATTATATGATAAAAATCAACCGTTAATTTTGATAGATTATTCACACGTTAAAGATTAAATTGTTACAAACTTTTAAATACAGGAAATAAATTGTTACCAATTTGAAATTATAAGAATTAAATGGTTACAAATTAAAGTTGAGAAACTAAAACTACAAAAACCAAAAAGGTTTATTTTAATTTTTTTTAAATTAAGATTATTTTGGTTCCCTTTTTGTTTTAGGTTTTTAAAATTATGCTTATTTGGTTACAATTTTTTTAATATATTTTCACATTACTTAAAAATACATTTAAACTATTCTTACCCAAATTTAAAAAATCAAAACAAGTTTTTGAAAATTATTATTTTTTTTTAAGTTTGAAATAGATTTTGAAAAAAGTTTTGAAAAGCATGTGCAGAAGGAAATGAAATACCTGGGTGAAAGCATTATTTACAAATTCAATTTTCAAAAATTGATAACACAAGCTAGTTGGCTCAAAACAGCTTTCTATGTTAAATAATGTAGTTTGTCGCCTATGACGGTTATCCAATCGGGCTGATAATTTGTGTATATTTTTGTTTTTGTTTTTGTTTTTAAATATTTTGGAATATTTGTTAAATACAAATAGATTTAAAACATATATATATACACTTTTGAAATATGGTTTTAAGCAATAAGTAGATTTCATGATTGGTTTCACATTTATGGAATAATATAAATAAATAAAAAGTAAATTGAGAGAGAGAGAGTGATTTTTGTAATGATCAACTAAAATCTATTGAAATTTTGGTTAGATTATGTTTTGTAATGGATTTGGGTGGCTTGAAATTGGACACCACGTAGAGCAAATCCAACCCCATTTGGTCAACTTATGAATTATAAACAAAAAGTAATCAAAACTTCAATAATTTCTTCTCTCTCTAATCCAATCATGAAATCTACTTATTGCTTTTATTTAATGTAATCAAACTCATGTTTTGTTTTTACGCTCAATTTTTATGCAATTTTTCAATTTGATAATTCCATAAGAAAACTTTAATAATAAAAAAGTTTGATTAATTATTATTTTATTAATATATTTTGACACGAAGACATGTGCCTTTGGCATATGTCAACTTTCTATTATTACTTAATTGAGAATTTTAATACATTAATAGTAAAATTTAAAATTTAAAATGATTAAGATTCAAGTCGAGAATAAACACGAACTAGAAGGATAAAATCAATAGATTTAGCTTTCAATATAATAATTAGAAAATTATGTTTCCTGACATCAAATATTACAGGATCAGACAACTATTCAATGGACTCAAACACTCATGGTTAAAAAAAATAGTGGTGCTAGAAAATTAATGATAATCACATGCGTGATTAGGTACAAACTACTCTAATTTTGCCAATAAAACCACCAAATCTTACCGTTATCTTTTCATAACTACGGTGTCTAAACCTCGGTCCTCAAAACTCAATAACAATCTTAAGAATCTCTAGAAAATCAAATATTATAGGATAGACATTAGTCTCGTGAGATTAGTCAACATACTACTCACGCCAATTATTTACCTTTTCCTTAACAGCAAGAGAAACAAATTACCAACACACAATCACAAATCGCAAATAGTAACAGTAAAAGATTAGCTTTATAACTGAAGAAGTTACAAGTCAATCTTATCATAAGTTGATGCTAAAGCTAACTTGTCTAATTTGTTAGCCCTAAGGGGAGAATGTTAGAAATTTTGAATGTCAACTTCTTGTCTACTCTATTGACTTAGAGCAAAATGCTTCACAATTGATATCCTAAGCTTTTCTCTCTTAGATCAGCTCTTGTCGGCAACTTTCAGGAGTGCTAGTTTGATCCTCCCGACTGATGCAGCCGCTATCCCCCGAAACTGCAACCAAATTAGCAAGAGCAAGTTACTAGGTATCGATGTAAAAACACACACATTCTTCTACTCCTTGGCATTAGCTCTCATTTCAGTTCTACTACGGTAATTATTATGAACCAACGACTACATTGTGATACCATTCACTAAAGATAAAAATTGTAATGTTTAACACATCATTTCCATTTCAAAGTCAGATAGCAAGTTTAGTTGCCTCATCAACTGTATTAAAGTTCAAAATAACTTGTTGTCCAACTTCGAAATTGAAATGATGATGTGTTAACAATACAATCGCTTTACAATGTGGTCATTCATAATAGCTACCGACTACCGTTTGTAGAACGAAAACGAAACTGTTGTCATTTTGAATGAAAAATGCCAAGGAGTAGAAGTATGTGTTTGTCTTTATATCAATACCCGGTACCTTACTCTTGCTAATTTGGTTTCAATTTCGGAGGACAGCAGCTGCATTGATCAGGATGATCAGATCAAACCATTCTCCTGAAAGTTGCAGCTTAGAATATTAATTGTGAAGCATTTTATTGCAAGTCAGCAGAGTAGACAAGAAGTTAGACATTCTAAATTTCTAACATCCTCCCCTTMGGACTCACAAATTAGACAAGTTTAGCTTTAGCATCTACTAAACAATCATATTGTAGGACGTTTTATTATATTGACAAGTTACCTAAGACAAGTCTCTAGAAAATCAAATATTATAGGATTAGATATTTGTCTTCTTAGATTAGTCAACATACATCTAAGCTAACTTAAATTACTCATGCCAGTTATTTACCTTTTCCATAACAGCAAGAGAAAAAAATTACCAGCACACAATAAGAAATTACAACTGAAGAACTCAATCTGATCAAAACATGGTTAATTGATGGTGGGTAGCAAATAGTAACAGTAAAAGATCAGCTTTACAACTCAAAAGTTACAAGTCAATCTTATCATCAGTTGATGCTAAAGCTAAACTTGTCTAATTTGTAAGCCCCAAGGGGAGGATGTTAGAAATCTAGAATGCCAGCTTCTTGTCTACTCTACTGACTTACAGCAAAATGCTTCACAATTGATATCCTAAGCTTTTCTCTCTCAGCTCAACTCTTGTTGGCAACTTTTAGGAGTGCTAGTTTGATCATCCCAGCCGATGCAGCCGCTATCCCTCGAAACTGAAACCAAATTAGCAAGAGTAAGTTACCAGGTATCGATGAAAAGACAAACACATACTGCTCCTCCTCGACATTTTTCATTCAAAATGACAATAGTTTTCATTTCAGTTCTACAACTATGTAGTTATTACGAATAAACGACCACATTGTGATACCATTCGCTAAAGATAAAGAGTATAATGTTTAACACRTCATCATTCCTTTTCAAAGTCAAACAACAAATTATTTTGAAACTTGAATATAGTTGCCTAGGAGCCAAGAGCATTCTAATCTAAAGAAAAGCACATGCTCGAATATAGGAGAGAATATAAGCCATGTGTAAGGTTAAAAACGACCTTTCTTCATGTTATGCTAGTAGGATAAGCTGTTCATGTTGGGTTGGGTCGGTTTTTTCCAATTTCTGCTTTCACCGCTATTTTCTTGTAAGTCTAAGTCATTGAATGGTTATTAAAAGCATTGCTTTTTTCCTTTCTTTTTCTCTTTGTGTGTGTGTGCAGATTAATTGAAATTAGTAATCTATGAAAAACAGAGATWAAAAACTCAGCTACAAACCTTAGACTTAAGGGTCAAGGAGAAGACACCATTATGATCAGAAGATTGAACTGAGTGGGCGTCCAACTGTAAGTCATTCATAGCATCCATGATGTCGACCAATAAATATTCTCGATACGGACATCTCATATCAACAAGAACCTCTTGTTCTTTCATGCTGACTTTCACATCCAGCCTCAAGCCATTTTGTGGAATGTGATTCTTCAGCTTCAGGTCTGTTTCATCTAACTCACAGGCTTTCCTCTTGTTCATTGAAGKCTTTAAGGTGCCTTCAATCTTTTCATAGTCATAGTTATCTGAAGTCTGCTCCACCATATCAAGATATTTCCTTCTTAATCTTTCTTCATAATATAATGAGTCCATGCAAGCTTCTAACTCTTGTACTCTTGCTTCAAGCATCTTCAAATATTTGATCGTATCATTGAGTATGGACGCTTTGCTGATCTGCATAAAAGAATTAAGTTTTCAGATCGTACYGCTTCAAGATACCATTGTTGCTAATCTCTAAGGCTTCTGCGTAACGATTGAAGCAAAAAATGCAACAATGTCAATACTAAGATCATGTTTGGTATCTATTTTATTTTTGGTGTTCTGTTCATAGGAACTAAACTCAGAAACACTACTCACACCTAATTTATGGTTTTTTTTTTTTAGAACTAAACACTGTGTGTTTCAAAATAAGCCAAAATTTGAAAACTAAAAAACAAGTAATTCTTTTTTATGAAAAGAGAAAAATATACCAAAGAAAATGTGAGAAAACAACCATAATTTTTAGCATAAGAAAAATTAGAAACGAAATGGTTATGATACAAGGCCATTTCCTCATAATATCATCACAAATTTTTATGAAAAGTAGCTGGAAGTACCTTGTTGAATGAAGGTAACATCGACTTTAGGGCCATAAATTTTTCGTTTTCTATCAATTTGTCATGCATGACGTTGTTCGGGCACATATCATTGTTACCCTGTTTCAAGATTGACCGTTCCCCGTCCTTCAGGCGATTCAGAGAACTACCAGAACACAACAGTGGAACTGWAAACAAAATCTTCTTTAACATTTTTTGCTGCACCAGGGGCGGCATGTGTCTCTCGGCCAATCGTTTCTTCCACGGCATGAAACTGGATCTGTTTGAGACATTAGGGAGAAGGGGACTGCCAACCAATTGAGTTGAACTTCCCAAAATGGTAAAGAGAGTTCTCCTGTAGTGCATGTCTTCATCACTTCTGGGATCCAATGAACCGGATTTAGTGCGATTCGAGTTTTGAAGCTCTTTCAAAGTTAAACTGTTTGCACCTTTCGGTCTCGAAGGAGATAAAACTTTCTCTTGATTTGCCAAAGCTTCAGAAACACAGTCACTAGGATTCATGGAGTCTTGAAAACCATTACTGAAGTCATCATCTAGAAACTGCAAACYCTGAAAACGAGACGCCCCTCCATCGACACCCTCAAGTCTTAAAGGATCTTCCTCCATTTTGTGGTATTGTTCATAACCATTTGAAAGATCATCAAGAGAATCAATGCTGAACTCCTTATCATTTCTTCTTAGAATCCTGTTTACTTCCTTATAYCGGTTCTCCAAAGCCAAAACTTCAACAATCTCATTGTCAGGTTTGGCGCCCATCTGTTCTTTACCATTATCATCTTTATAACTGGCTGAGGAAGGTTTCTTTGAGCATATCGGCTTCGAGAATTTCAGTAAAAAATCTTTGACATGTTGAAGAAGATTAGGATCCTCCAAGACCTTAAAAAGAAGGCACGAAAATGGGAAATGTGGTCAGCAAATTATACGATGCTGAAAATTTTATGAAACTTATGCTGTGCGTCTTCATGAATATTACCTGCTCAGTTACACCTAATTCAATAACACCCCCAAGGTAAGGAAAGCAGACTACAGTCTACAAAACACAAGTTTAAGATCAGGTCAAGAATCAGCTTTGAGATTAGCAAGTAACAGCAGTTCATTCTCAGAGCTTTAGATGATTTTAAGTAGCCAACAATTGAACTCGGTTTCTCATAAGAGTGTGTTAGGTGTTTGATAAMAATTATGTTATTACTTTTCTTTTATTAAAAATTATGCTTGTTTCCTCACAATTTCTCGCTTATCCTTTTTACCTTTCTTAAAATGCATTTGAATTCTTAGCCAAATTTCAAAGACAAAAAGTAAGTTTTTTTAAAAGCAGATTATGACTATGTTTGATAACCATTTTGTTGTTTATTTTATTACTTTAAAAATTAAGTSTACAAATACTACTTTCGCCCATGTGTTTCTTCCTTATGTCATCACAATTCCRAGATCTAAGTCAAATTTTAAAAACTTGTTTTGTTTTTTGAATTTGACTAATAGTTCAAAAGTGTTCTTAAAAAAAAGTGAAAAACATACCCAAAAAAAATTGTGATAAAGCAAGCAAAAAAAGGTTGCCAAAAGAAGAGCATTTGTTTGACTTCTTTGATAAGAGGGCCAGAATAATACTCAGTCCAAATAATTTACAAACAAATATTTGTGATTTTATCACATTCACAAGAGGTTTCTTTTTCCTTTTCAAAGTCACACTGTTATCGAAAGATTTCTGGTTTTGTTTATCATATTTAGTACTAGGATGATGCTTTACAAGGATAGGTATACCTGAATCGCTGCACTCTGTACATAGTTGATTGAYGACGTCAAATATAAGAACCCCAGTGAAAAAAGAGAAGAAGAAAAAAAAGAACGAAATGTCAATTTTTCTTGGATCGTAACGAATTTGAAATAAAYATCAAACTGTTCAAAATCAAATAAAATGATTTCCTGCCAATCAAAAATAAAGCGAACCTTTGCAAGCAAAGAACGAGAGAATACATTACTCTCCGCATATTGAGCATTGCATAACCAGATAGTTTGACTGTCGGCTAACGCTCTTCCAGGCAAACTGTGCATGATAACAGATAATGGTTGTTATATCACAAGTTAAACAGCAAAAGTAAAGAGACAAATATCAGTATAGATCAGATCAAATACCCTTGGCCTTGATTGAAGACAAAGGACATGCAAACCAAGTAATACCATTCTGCATCTGATAGATCTTCAGGAGACAGAGAAGCAGGAGGCTTTTTGATTCGTTGCTCGGTTTCGCCTTCTAAGAGAGACTTGTAGAGCTCTCTCAACTGCTCACTTCTGTGTAAGCCCATTTTGTCGACATGGACATCCTCAGCTTGGACCGTTTTCCTCGTCTTGATGTCGCCATTGTAGTAGCCATCACTCCATTCCAGCACACTAAAGTATAAAACCAAATCTTATCATTACAKTACAACAACTATATAGAGCAGAATTTTTTAAATCTTTGCATCCAGYTGCTATKGCAGTGAAAAGAGAGAGCAGATGGCACAAAAATACAACCTGTGAAATTGTAAGCAACTACTTTAGTCGTTCCTAATTATACTTTGTACTTACCCTACTTGTCACACAGAACTTCATGGAACCCCTGAAATTTCACTATTTCCTTATCATCCATTTAAGTTACATGGTGTTTTTTAATATATAACTGGAGTGTCGAGAGCGCCACTCCTTGCATTCTAATCTTCGAAAAGTTTCGACCACCTGAAGACCAACTTCGAGAGGCTAAGCATTTTAAGTTATTATGTTTTCAACCAAAAGTTTCAACTCAGTACCTCAAAAGTATCTCCAAATATCTCAAGCCCTCACCAACAACACACACTCTAGAGATTACATGTTAGTTTAGTTGAATCCTGATTTTGACCTTTAAGCTCCTCAATAGCATATAATGAGGCTTTCTTGAGTTCGATTTGAACCTCCAATGTTACGGTCGAGGATATATGCCTTAACCGAACCAACTTCATTTTTCATCAATTGTTCCCAAAAGCAACCCACAAATTTAAAGTACAGAAATCACAGAACCCATCTGGAATTTCAACACCCATCCGAGGAATTGACCTGCAAATACAAATCCATCTCCACAGAACAAAAGTTACATAAGGAAAGAAAAAGAAAGACCCAGATAGATAAACAAGCCAAAAAGGAATAACAGTGGCATCCAACAAATTTTACAAATAACTCCTCAAAAAGAAATCCATTCCATACCCATGCTGCCTAGTCGACGATGCCCAGAAAATCGCATAGCTCCACTGGATGCTCTTCACAGCAACAGCGAGCTGCTTTCTGAGAAGCCCAGGTTCGCTGTCACAGTTTTCAGTTCCATTAGCCATTTCCCAGAAAAAAACTAAGAGAAGAAACTCACAAGAAACGATGAAAAAAGAGAAACCCACCAAGCCATTAGCCATAAGGGGGTTCCAACGCCACAGAATGGCGAAACCCCAAATGCCTTTTAGGCTTTAGCCGTGCGACACAGAGCGAGAGCAGCTTTCTGAACAGAAAAAAAAGTAATATACTGGAAAAAGTGGAAACCGTCTTCTCAGCTGCAACAAATTTTTTCAATTTTTGGGGTTAAGATTAAGTAAGGCTTAATCGATTAGTTTATAATTAATTTTAGCAGAAATCTGATTGCGGGGCCGACAGAATTCTAATTGCGGCTCACCTTTTTGACCCGTAAGAAAAATGGAGCTTCTGAAATCAAATGGAAAGGGGAAAAGTTTTGCTGATTTCAGCTTCATCACTTCATATACGATTATTTTCTATATTATGGTATTGTTTTATATGTGTAASGRAAATTTTCTTTGATTTTTCAAAATGGTTGAAGCTCGAGCTCGGTCTGTTGGTATAAATTCTTTGCCAAAATGAAACAGACAAAGACCGCCATGGTTTTCTACTGATCTAAACTTTTAAGCAGTTTTCAGAAAAGATATTATAAATAATTCAAWAAACTAGAGACGGCGAGTAAAAAAATGTTTTTTAAAGAGTTTTTTTATTTGAATGTTAAATACATTTTGATCCTTGACTCGAACGACTAACGTTGATTTTAATCTTTATACTTTTAAATTTTACCAATTTAATTTCTATACTTTGTAAAATTTGATTTCTATATTTAAAAAAATAATCATTTTGGTCACTTTTGGAAATGTTTCAACATAAATTTTATGTGCATGAGGTAAACTCTTAATACAAAATTATAGTTCCAAATTATTGGATAAGTTTTTAAAAATTAGGACTAACCATTTTATTTTTTATTTTCTTATTTAAAAAACCTATAAATATTATTTTTACACATGTCTTTATTTGTTTTGTTATCTACTTTTTAAAATGTTTTCATAATCTAAGTCAAATTTTTAAAACTAAAAAACATTAATTTTTAAATACTTTTTTTCGTTYGTTAGAAAAACAACTCATTTTTGTTATTTAAATTTGACTAAGAATTTAAATGGGTAAAAAAAAGAGAAAAACATATAGAGAAATTATGATAAAGAAGGAAAAATAGTTAAACGAGATCGTTATTAAACATGACCTAACTTTTTGATTTTCAAAATTTGGCATATACTTACCCTACTTTTATGTTTGAAGTAATTCTTAAAAAGATATTATAAAATAATTCAAAAACTAGAGACCGCGAGGGGAAAAAAAAAGAAGTTTTTACATGAATAACACTAGTTTTTTTTAGTGGTTTGAATACTATTTTGGTCAATGTACTTCTAGTTTTGGTTCGTTTGAGTCGTCTCTATATTTGTAAAATGTTTATTTTGGTCATTATTGTTCCTATACTTTTGCAAACATCTAATTTGGTTACTGTACTTTTAAAAAATAATCATTGTGGTCATTGTTTGAAAATTTTGTACACAAATTTTATGCATGACGCAAAATCTTACTACAAAATAATTGCTACATTTCAAAAAATTATTGGGTGCAATGTTGTGCTGAAATTGTGAAATAAAAAATAAAATTCTAAAATAAATTAAAAATATAGAGACTAAAATAGATGTTTTGAAAGTAGAATTAAAGTTAAAAAAAACTAAAATGATAGACATCAAAGTAGTATTTAAAAGTTTTTTATAATATTTTCAAAATGTGTGCTAGAAATAGCAAAAATTTAAGCTTACCCCAACTTTAACATGAAAATGGTATTTATCTTTTATATTTTTAGAAATTATATTATTACATATAAGAAAGGAAGATTCCAACCTATAATCATGAAATGAGTACTGGTACCATTGTGTACTTTGTATTACAGCCTTAATTATGATCTCATCAATGTTCTCTAAAATAGTAAGTAAAACCAAAATTTTAGATACTTAATTTTACTTTATTTGACTTTGATATTTTTTGAAAAACACCGCTAACCAACCAACTCAACTAGTATGCTGATTATCAACTTTAACGTAGTTCCGCAGTTAAGGTACTTATGTGTCGTGAGTTCGAATTTCTCTACTCTACATGTTGTACGAAAAAAACTAGTATGTTAATCTGTTTAGTTAATTTTCACCAATCGTCTTTATCTATATGTATATGTACGTACGTATGTATCTATATATATATATATATAGTTTAAATAATAGTTTGGTTTCTGTACCTTTGACTTTTACTCATTTTGGTCCTTTTATCTTTGAAACGTCTATTTTGGTCCCTATACTTTTAATTTTTATCATTTTAGTTATTGTACTTTCGGAACGTCTATTTTGGTTCCTATACTTTTAAAAATTAACCATTTTGATCTCTTCATATTCATTTTGATCTTATTTCTTTTGATCATAATTTTAGCATGATACTTTATTCACTAAATTCCTTGAGATGTAACTGTAAAATTGTGTTAAAGAGTTTCCATTATATATAAAATTTGTATTAAAATTTTATAAATATGGACAAAAATGGTCACTTTTTAAAATTGCAAGACCAAAATAGATGTTTTGAAAGTATAGAAACTAAAACGAACAAAAGTTACAAATATAAAGATCAAAAGAGACATTTTGAAAGTATAAGGATGAACCAAGACAAAAATTAAATAAACCAAAATAAACCTTTTAAGGCGCGCAGAAGTAACAAAAATTGAAGCCAACCCAACTTTAACAATCAAACGGGTATTTATCTTTTATATTTTTAGAAATTATATTATAAATATAAGAAAAAGATTTGAACTTATTATTCATGAAATAAGTATTTTTTTTTCTTGAGTTCAATGGGGTGGAAAATTAAACTTTTATATTTTATTTTGATATATATTTTTTAAATCACATGTACAAAAATTACACCAATTATCTCTTATTACATATAAGTGATCGTATAATAGGGACAAGTTGAAACTCTCTTTTTCCCCCTAAAGTTGATGGATAAAAATTAAAAAGTGATTATGAGGTACAACAATAATGGACCAAATGGGCCATGGGAATGCCTCGTTTTGACAGACTCAAGTAGGTGTATTGGGAAGAAGGAGATGGGGGCACAGTGGTAATTTCACAGTCGGAATTTTGATAACCTACTCATTTTGCATATTTTGTCATTCTAGACCACTTTTTATTAGTTCAATTAGTACGTAGAGCCATAACTTCGAATCTCCCATTTCATTATATTTAGAAAGGAAAAAAAAAATGATTTGCACTCCTCTCTAAAAAGATTTATGGGAAATTGACCTGAATTGCCTCCCTCCCAGGATAGTATTGATTTTTATCCACCTTTTTCAAAATCAAGAATGATAATTCTGATTTTAATATCTTGTCAATTATTTTTTTAATATGTCAACGATACGTGACTTGTAGACGTGTCTTAACATGCTAATGTTGTAACTATTCAAGTCATTTATGCAGGCAAAATAATAACAAAAACTATAATAAAAGTTAGGGATAAAACAAACATTTTGAAAATTCAAGGAGCAAAAATGTAATTTTGTTAAGTTCAAATATCAAAATTTGGACTTAAATAAAATTTAAGGGGTATTTGGAAGCATGTCAAAATCACTTTTTCTTTTCATTAATCATGTACAGTCAGATATCCTAACCGCAGGACGACAACAAAATTATTGAAAGATAAATCATATTACATTAAAATAAGTAAATAAATAATTGGAACAAAAAAACTGTAAACGTAATCCCTTTTTAGCCATGCTTTTTTCTCTCTCTCTATTTTACTATCAAATTTTATAAAGGTGAAGAATGTATTTTTTTAAGAGAATTTTAGAGATAGTTCAAAAATAATAATAATAATAATAATAATAATAAAAACAATAATAATAGTAAAATTCAAAATAATTTGAATATTTAACAGTTTTACAATTATTTTTAATATTTAACAGTTTTATAATTATTTTCGAAAATTAGGAGAGAGGAAAAGATCTGTTTAAAGTTTCCGTCATACTCTTTTATTAATTTATCATAATTATACATTAAGAAAATTATGTTATTATATTATTTTCTATAAGTAACTCATTTTTCTAATTAATAACTTATTAATTTAGCCTTCCATATACTTTTTGTCCTTCGATTCTTTTATAAAAGAGATGAGACAATAGAAATGTTCATAAATTCAAAAATTTTCTGCCCATCGTTTTGATTGAAAACAGACCACCAAATTTCATGAATTATTTTCTTAAAATAAACATATTTCCTCAATAATTCTTTGCAATAAGAATAACTTCCTTTTTTCCTTAGATAATTCAAACCACAACGATGAACAAACTTCAAAAAGCTTTTAATCTAGGTCCTATTTGATAACTTTTTTTTTTTTTGTCTGAATCTACATTTTTAAACAGTTTCTAAAATTTAA